CTGAAAAAGACTTTGGTGCTAGCTTGCTTTGAAAACTGCTCAGACCGCTGACTGTAGTGAAACCATTTTAGCTGCCGGTTAAAAATTTGTCTGGCGAATATCGCATCATCTGATTGGCTCTTTTGTTCGGCCTTTTTAGGGACCACCGATCAAACTGGTTAAGGCAATTATCGTCCGATTACGATCGGAGACCACAAGAGGACACAGTCCACCTGCAGTTTTTTCAAACATTAAAATATTATGGACTGTTTTTTCTTTCAGGATTAAAACTTTTTTGTCTCTTTTTCATTATGAAGAAGGGAACTCTGAGGATACTGGGGTGCTGTACTTGTATCTGCAAGCTGTCAGAATGTACATTCTTTATAGATAAAAAGAGAAACTCAAGGTATTGTCTTTTTGAAAGGCTTAGTCTGAGTGGAGCCATGACAATTTGTTTGAGGCACTTCACTATGTTCAGCAAAAGACTGATACTGACACTTGTTTCAATAACATCTAACATCTAACAATATCTCTGCTTTTCATCTGACTGTACATCTCTCTGACTCTCATGTCTGTCTCTCTTTAGGTACGAGTATCTTTACTGTGTATGAGGCTGCATCACAGGAGGGTTGGGTGTTCCTCATGTACAGAGCCATTGACAGTTTTCCTCGCTGGCGCTCCTACTTCTACTTTATAACTCTTATTTTCTTCTTGGCATGGCTTGTCAAGGTTAGAACCAGTCTCTCTCTCCTGCACTTTTCATAATGCTTTCACCTCCCCTGGCATTGCACCAAAAAGTTTTGGTTAATTGACGTTACCTAATCTTTTTCCTAGAGACATAACAATTTCCCCTTGTTAGTAGAATGGTCTCTGGCTAATGAGAGAATGAATATCACATCACAGATAGTGAAAGGAAGCCAAGAGATGTACCTGCACTTTGGCATTTATTTTTAATTGTCTCAACTCTCTTAATCTCTCTGTTTTACTCTTTCTATATCTTTCTCTTTAACAGAATGTGTTCATTGCAGTCATCATTGAGACATTTGCTGAGATCAGAGTGCAATTTCAGCAGATGTGGGGGTCAAGGAGCAGTACCACCTCTACTGCTACAACACAGGTACAACTGTCAAACTCACAGACACATGTGGCAACTAAATCTGACCTGATTCTAAAACATTTTTGAACACCGGCTTTCTTTGAAGCTTGGTACAGAGTGTAAAAAAATCTGTTCATTCATCAATGTTCAGTTCATCAAAGTTGCATGGATTCAGAAGAATCAAAGGAATGAACACAAACACATTCTGACAGGAATGGCTTTCTTAAGGGATAGAGGAGTGCATGGTCATCAGTAAATACCTTCACTTAACTTGGCCACCTAAGGGGCCCATAGACTATCAGATGTCAGTTTTTTTTTTATAAATTGGGCATCAGAGTATAAAAGATCAAATCAGTCTAGTTTTAGACTAGACCAGAATAAAAGCATAAAGCAGATTAAGCAGATTTATTTGGCCAATTGAAAAGGGGCATGCAGGTTGCAGACTGTTGCTCCATGCAGTTGGTCCTTGTGATGTGAAATGTTACCTGTCTTGGAGAAGAGGATTCACCTCCATTCATTGCACCTGCGCTGGAATCAAACTCTTGGAGAGGTTATGAACTCTTCTGGAGGTGACAAGGGTGCAACGCATTAGCCTGGTGTGGTCATACACCTTAGGCCACAGATTGATGATAAGTGTTTAAGTTTTATTATCAGATTTGGATGAACGGGAATGCTGCCAGACAGACCTGGTAAAATCCAAACATGTAGTGAAGGTTGTCTGTGAGGTCTTCAGCTCTCATATCCTTTTTTTCCTGTATCCTGGGGAAGTTGGAGACATGGAGTTCAATAGTGCAGCTTCAGTGGTTGAAGAAGCAAAAACTCATGTGCAGGAGTTCTGTGAGGAGGCCATAGAGGAGGGCATTTCTTGGTCTCAAGGAGACTCTGCAAAAGAATTCAGAAAGGAGAGGCAGTGTCTTGCCCAGGCTGGGCCTTTGCTGAGCCATCCAGTTCATGTATAATCAGAGTGAAAGCCATTTTCGTATTCCTAGCAGTAATTGAAGCTGGTTGTAAGGCTCTTTATTCTATGATTTTTTGACTGATTCTGTTGGTGTTTTTCATGGAAAGAATCCCATGGGGCAGCCAAGTCGTAAAGAGTGCCCACTTTAGAGACTTCAGGATCACATCTGTCTTTTAATGATCATGGTTCTCCTGGCTTCATCAGAACATTACGACCAGCTGAAGTTTGGATGAGAGTCAGCACCTCCAAGTCTGAGGTCATAATATTCTGCCTGTAAATGTGGGTTGCCCTCCTTTTGTTGGGAATGAGTTACTTACTCAGGTGAAGGAGTAAGGGTATAATGGGTTTTTGTTCACTTTCAAGTATGGGTAAGCAAAAGCAAGAAACTCACTTGCAGATTAGTGCATCACCAACAATACCAGCCATTTGTGGCAAATAGTGAGCTTAGCTTGGAGATTAAGCTCTTGATTTACCAGTCAGCCTATGTTCCAACCACTCGTAAAAGTCATGAGTTCTGAGCAGTGGCCAAAATTAGTTTATGCTTGGGGTCACCCTTTGAGACAAGGTAAGGAGGTTGGACTTCTGGGAAGAGCTTGGAGTATAATCACTTCCCCTGGGCTTGTAAGGACCATTTCAGGTAGTTTGGGAATCTGATCAGAAAACATCTCTATGGAGGTTTTCTGGGTTCTAACCGGAAGAAGGCCTTGAGGCAGACCAAGAAAGTACTGGAGGGATTATCCCCTTGGGATCCACTAGGAAAAGCTGGAGGTCACGGCTCGGCTACCTGGTTTAGCTTTACTTTGCCTTACCTCATGTAGCCTTACAGCAGTGGTCGGCAATAGGGGGCCCGCAGGCCCTGCCAGCAATAATATCTGGCCCGTGGCCAGATTACTTTAATGACGGCAAAACCCCCCAACATTATAGCGGCTGGTGCTGAACCAGACCTCAGTCATGACAGCAAAAGTTACTCACATAATCACTTCCTCTTAAAGGCAGGGTAGGCAAGTTGCTTCTGAAACACTTTTTGTCATATTTGTTGAAACTGTCTTTATACACCAATGCATATTAAGAAGTTAGGCGCTCTGAAAAAGAGAGTATAAAAATCGGCTTTCTGTAGTCCTCTCAGGGCTGCAATAAACACAGCCATTCGTTTCATTCGGACCGAATGCAATGATTGCCTGGGTGACTGTCACTCTCCCTCGCTGCCATGGCTACCAGCCGTGCTGCTACAGGAGCTGCCCCCATGCGCGAACCGGTCAGCTCTCAGACCTGACGAGCGAAGCGGTCAGATCGGAGGAAATATCTGCGTGGCTTTTCAACAATGGTGACTAACAACTGAGGAACACCAAGGGACTGAAAAGTTACACCGTTGTGGCTTTATTTCTGCTGGACAGGTAATCTGGCTTTTATCATTTTGATGGTAATTTGTTACTTTCATCGCTAGCAAACGTAGCTACCTACTTAGCATACAGCTAACGGTTGCTATGAGTGCAGGCTGGTGTAGGAGCCAGAGTAGAGACGATGAATTATATCTAGCTGTAGGTGATCTGGAAAACAGAAGTGCAATCTGTGTTTTCCTATGCTATTAGGTAAGACAATGTAGGTGTAGACTGCGCCGGTTTAGTTATTCACCATATAGGTTTATTATACTATGTTTACACCTATCTTTACACCTTGTATCTAATTTGTTTGTGTAATTATCTTGTGTCTGCAGGCGCTGTTTTACTGTGTGTTACTCTTTTACAAATGATGTTAGCTGTGTGTTTGTAGTTATGAGAAAGACATTTCAACGTTAGTGTACATAAACAATGATGTCTAAAGGTCCCCAAGTATCTGTGTTTCTGGTATATAAGCTACCTATAATATAGTTTGACATTGTTCGTAGCTAAACCTACTGTGTGAAAACCTTTTACTGTAACTGGTGTTATGCAATTACTTATTTTACCAGAAGTAAAAAATGTTTTATTTCTAATGTACCCTCAGGTCACCTGCAGTCTGCCAACACCCTGTGCTTCTCACCAGTACACTGATCAGACAATGCTGGTTGGCCTGGATTACAAACACCGTGTCTACAGTCCTGCCAGGAGAAAAGCTGATGACACAGTTCAATATGTTGTATTATGAGTACTCCTATGCATTTTACTCAATACATTTATAAGTGATGAATCAAAACATATTAAACAGTATGAGGAATACAGATAGATGGTGCTGATTTATTGTTTTGATTGCATTTTATGAGGAAATAGTTTACTTATTACTCTATAAGAGAACAATGTATTATCAGGTACAGCAAGGTGTACAACAAAAAGTCCAGGAAGTGGAGCTTGTACTCATTCTCCTCCTCCTCCGGTTGTCTACTACTGAGGAGATGCCTAGAAGCAGAACTAGGAGACCTGATGATCCCTGTCAACATGGGGTTCAGTCAGGTGTCCCTGCCCCAACTGTATTGCTAGATACAGCAAAATATAAAACAAAAAGTAATATGGTTGGTTTTGAAATGTGGTAATCATGTTAGAGAGGTGACTGTGATATATTTAATCATCTCCACAGCAGCGATACGATGCTACGAGTAAAGTCTGAACTGTCTTCATAATCAGTCGATACATCTGGACACCTTGTCTCTTCCTGTATATACTTATTTTATTGATGTTTTAAAAATGATCTATTTGTGATATAGGTTGTAGTTTTAGTCGTATATAATAACAATAAACAAGTGTTATACCACATTTGGATGTCATTATTTCAGACATAAATGTAGTTGCTTGATTGTTTATGCTGCAAATGTAAAGAAAAGGCATTTATCATTTTCAATGTTTTATTTAAAAAGGAATGAAAATATTATCCAGAATAGGGATAAATATCTTTGTATTTTCTCTACCCTCCTGGGAATAAAATGAAAACAATGTATAGGTATTCATTCACACAGTGGAGGGAATTATTTGTGTAGCAGTTGGTGAATTACATCTTACACCCTGCTACGATTAAACCTCTGTATTGTCCTAATAGATCAGGATAACGGTTGCATATCTTCCAGAAACAGCAACTTAGTATCACAACTCTGTGACCAAGTGCTCCACATTGCCACACTACAAACTGTCTGTATGCTGCCTGACTGAACTGTCTGTTACTCTGTCCTGGGTCTGGAAGGTCAGCCTTGCGTGGTGCATGGAAACACTGTAGTCTGGATGTTGTCCACAGTGCTCAGATTCTGGCCTGTAAAGGAATATATAGTTGTTAGAACCCCAAATGGGAAAGATCGGTGTAATAGGACAGAATAATAGACTAATATTAAAATATATATGTATAGATATACCTGTTCATATGCTGTTGTTGGAGTGTGAAGCTCGACATAGGTCCTAGAAGATGTGGCAGTCCTCCCTCCTCTGCTTCGCCTCGACCCCAGTCCTGGTTCTGTCCCGGTTTGTGCTTGGCTCTGTGGTGCAGTCCTCATCAGAGATAATAATGCTGTCACCATGGAAGCTCTAACATGTATAACAACGTACATGCTATGAGTCTAACACGAAATACACGTTCGTGTAGTATAACTGATGGTAACTAGAAAATGTGTATCAGCCTGTTTTTAGCTTTGCCCCATGTTGCCACAGCTGTTAGCACAGCTACCTGTTGCTAACAGTTAGCTAGCCAGCTCGTTACTGATTAAAACTCGTTTTTTTTAACCTATCCATTAATAACATGCTAGCTTGATAGTGAGTACTAACAGCGTGTTAGTTGTTTATTTTCACAATGATAAAGTTAGATGTTTTCTTACCCTGATGTGAGCCGCTGCTCTCTGCTCGTCACGCTGTCCTCGTCCTCCTGCGGTGTCGGCAACGCGCGTTCACGTATTTTGGGGACGTGGTTTTGGAAGGAGCCCAGAATGGAGGGGGTGGGAGTTTCTCTGTTGGATAATGTCAAAATCCAGCAGTTTCTGGCTAGTTTCTCAAACTTACCTACCCTGCCTTTAAGTGATTGTGCCTACAAAATAAAGGCGCAAGAACATGTTTGTAGCAGTACTTTATATCGTGTTTAATTGAGAGGTTTTACTGTGAAAAGTTCTGAAGGAAATTCAAAAGAGTCTCTGGCTTGCTTGACATACCCCTGAAAAAGCCATGAGAAAACGTGAGATCGGATTCCCCTGAATGAGAAATGCAGGAATTTCCTCTGCTTGGAGATACTGGGGAAATGAAAATAAGCGTCCATAGGACGATGTGGACCAATCGCGGGGGGGAATACACGTCTGTATATGCTTTATGTGAACATATAAAACAATCACTTCATAAACAATTTGTTGAAAAGGGAGAAATATAACATTAGCGATAAGAAGGGATTGAACATACAACCCTTCGAACAAGAGTCCTGTGCACTACTGACTGAACTAAACAGGCACACAGTAAACGGCAGATTATAAATGATAAATTGATTATATAAGATTTCTCACCTCATTCAGTCCAAACAGCACCCGTTCATGTTGGTGATTAGCATTATCTTGCCCCTTTTTCAAGTTTGAATGTTTAGCTGTCTTACAAATGTTCTCTTAGGTATGAGAGGAGTTGTTACTCTGGTCTTGATTATTATTAGGGGTCCAAGCCTGAGTGGGCTGGGAACCCGCGAATGCGAATGCAAGGCATCGCGGTTCCCAATACCAGCGGAGCTGGGAACCCTATTGTAATCGCTTGAATTTTTATTATTATTTTTTTCTTCCGTGCATAAAACTGATACTGCGGCCTAGATGGGAACTGCTACGGACGCGAAACTCACAAGGTAGGTTTGCAGCCTCAAGAGTACCTCAGGCGCAAAAATCTGCACACTTCTACCTCTAGGGGGCGCTATAAGCAAGGTCAACGCGTTTGGCCTTGGAACTCCCGCTCACGAAGGCGGATATCAAAAACCTTATATCCGTGCGTTCGGGGGACCGAGCTGAATCTTGTGGTATGGGCCACGCCCATTTCCGCCTAAACTTTTTTTTCACTACATCGCGAAAACTGAAAAAACTATTTTAATTAACTCCTCCGAACCCGCAAGTCCGATCGACACCAAACTTGGCACGGATAATCTCTGGACCAAGCTGATGAAAGTTTGTAGAGGAAATTTTGATCCAACTAAAAATGTCCCAATAATAGGTGAACAAATGTTTGCGAAAAACGCTATAAACAGGAAATGAGGTCATATCTTGGAATGGCCGATCGACACCAAATTTGGAGCATTAATGTGGGACGCTGACTCTGACCCTGGCATTCGCGACTAGGTGGCGCTATTTAATTCCAATAAATTGTTCCTCTAACCACAAGTCTCATTGACATGAAACCCAAGCCGAATTGTTCAGCATGGTCCCCTGACTCAAGGCACCAAACTTCACCCAAATATGGTGCTGTTATTACACATTAAAGACGTAAAAAAAATCCATTGACTTACATGCATTTTATATCTCCAGAACCACAAGTCCGATTGATACCAAATTTGGGCCAATTGTTCCAGATGGGGCCCTGATGACACAATTTGGTGCAATTCGTCCAAAAGGTGGCGCTATAATGGAAGCTCAAATACCCCATTCATTTCAATGGGATTTTGAACCAAGGGACATTTTGCCTCATAACTACGGCCCACTATATCGCACATTCATAAACCTTATGTCTACGTGTTTGGGGGATGCTGCCGATTCCGATGGTATAGGATACGCTTCTGTGCGATGACGTTTTAATTTGCTAAATAGCAAAAACTGGAACACCTATTTTAATTAACTCCTCCGAAGCCGCAAGGCCAATTGGCACAAAACGTGACACGGACCATCTCTGGATCAAGCCGAAGAAAGTTTGTAGAGGGAATTTTGATCCGCCAAAAACGGCCGAATTATAGGCCAACAAATTTTTGCGCAAACGCTAAAAACACGCCCATACACATACATTAATTTCAGATCTCCGTAACTGCAAGCCCCTTTCATTTATAACTCTGGTCATTTATTCTCCATGGGCTCCCAGAGCCGCGCCAGGGCGCACGGGTTGACTCGCGCGCCCTCTGCGGGGCTTGCAGTTCTATTTTTTCTCTTGAAATGATACACATTTGATACACTTCCACACTTATAGTAGACTACCTTGGATTGCCAAAGAGGGTAGAGAAGTGGTTATGAAGCAGAATAAATCAAGAGATTTAAGTTTGAAGTTTTTTTCTGAATCTTTCATACATTACAATTGAAAAGTGGGAAGACGGGAGAGTCATTGTTTCAGAACTGAATGTAAGGTTTGGTATATATAACAATAATAAACATAATAAGTTTGACATTTTTAATCGTAATGGAGTTGGCCTGACAAGCGGTGAACTGTTTTCAGTGCCCTTATTCCCTCTTAGTCTTTAAAATGATACATCTTGGAAAGTCATTAAACTAAAACCTCTGTTGCTTCAGCCATGATGGAAAACAGGCTGGTGCCACTGGCTTGCATATACTGCTATGTCCTTGAAAACAATTAGCCTGTCTTTCCATTATCAAAATTAATTGCAATCACATCGTCATGCCCCAATCTTTATCTTAAAGGGGTAAAAACTAATTAGCTGTGGCATAACACTTAACTGTCAATCACAGAGGCTGAAACAAAATGCTTCTTTCTTCATTTTCCCTTGAGAGGAAGGCTGATATAAGGTGGCCCCAGGAGACACAACCCATGCCACACTCCCTGTTCTTTGACTTTGCTATACTGTCTCCAGACTATTGAGGCTTTTAACAGAGATTAGGCTGTAAAGCCTAACTGTACTGATAAAATGACAATGGATAAATCCACTTTTGTTTCACAGGATCAGGATTTCTGTCCCACATTTTGATGAGTGGAGTTGTAATTAAGGACTGAACTTGAAGTTGAATTGCACCAAAGTCCTCTTTGGCTTCATTGAAGTTGAATGATATCAACACTATGTGTTTGACATTAAAGAGAGTATTCTCTTTGCCACGTTATAATAAAAACAAGATGTTAAAAGCTATGGATTTCATAATAGTGCCTATTACTAAGTTGTTGTGTTCATGTTTTAGATGAATTGATATTCATGAGTGAGCCAGCTGTCTTGTGAGTTTGAAGGTCTCTGCTGTGATATTGGTGTGTTTTATTTCTGGTGTTAGGTCCTCAGGCCTACATGCTGTATTTAGTATCTATCATACTGTGTTTGAGTGGATACGAACCTGTGTGTGTGATGCCTTCAGCTTTTTTGTGGCCACAGATGTTTTATGAAGATGTAGCCAAAGGATAGATGTGTGTGTTTGAGTTTTGTCCAGTATTTTGAATGGTGTGCAGGCCTTTTTTGTGTGTTCTGCCCCTAATGTGCTGTCCTTGCGCCACAGATGTTCCATGAAGATGCTGCCGGGGGATGGCAGCTTGTAGCTGTGGACGTCAACAAACCACATGGCCGAGCGCCTGCCTGCCTCCAGGTAAACACACCACATCATTAATATGCTGTTGATGTTGCTGGTGTAAAGTGTTTCTCTCTCTCTCACACCCACACACACAGAATTCTATGAAATATGTTCAACTTATGTGACAGGTGTTACCTGAACATACATAATTTAAAAATTTCCTGAACTATAAAAGCTGAACTGTGCATATGTGTATGTACTTGTGTGTGCGACACTTTCTATTTTAATTAAAATGTCTCTCTTGATGTTGAAATGCTCTGTGTTAATAGAGAATCAGTAAACCTAATCCATTTAACAAGTGCCACAAATTCACACAGTATCACCTCATTGTTTTCACATTGTCCGTGTCTTCAAATGGCTGTGTCACACGACTAAATGATGGGATTTTAAATGAGGGGAGGCTTATGTTTGATGTGTAGAGCTGCACTAATGATGTTGCTCCAGTGATAGATGAGTTTTAAATGACGTCTACATGATGAACGCCACTCTTGCCTCGTGGTCAGTGTGATCCAAATGGTAAGGCTTTAAAGATAAGCTGAAAGCAGCGGGTGTTGCTTACAGCTGGCCCTCTGTTGATATCAGTGTGGTGTAAAAGGATGAGCCCTTGCTGTGAGAGATTGCCAATACAGTCTACGGCTATGAGAGAGAGGATAGCTGTCAACCGACCCTCATGGAGCAAATACTGTTCCAGTGCTGAGCTAGAAGGAGGCACACACACAAACAGAGAGGAAGAAGGCACATAATAAAATAGAGAAATGGGGTAGAGAGGTTTGGATGAAAAGAGAAAACGTGAAATATGCAGTATTCCCATTAAAGCAGCGTGTCCTCCAGAGCCTCATCATCAGTTGAAGGAAAGATTTAGATAGAGGGATAACCAGAGGGATAAACACGGCTGACATTCCTCTGAGCCCTGTGCTCCATTATATGGAACACCCAAAGACTGCCTCATGCGCTCATACCAAAATAGCAATTATTGTCATCCTGTGCCAAAAAGAAGACCACTTCTGACAGTAGAATGAATGGTTAACAGATTGCCAGAGAAGGGTATTAGGCCATGTTCAGACTGACAATAGCATGATTTCAAAAAACACAGCTTCCATTTCAATGAGGCTGATGCATTGGAAAAGTGGGGTGCCAACTCAGAGGGCTCCGGCAAAACAACACCGGGGGTCTGGCAAAAATGTTTAACCTGGTCTTACTTTTGCCACAGTTTGACATAACTGAGCTATGCATTGCGTTACCTAACAAATATTGTCAAAGACACATTCCTGGTTGATCCCTTAATGTAAATGACATTATTCTGCTGTTTACTTTGTTATAGTCGAGTTGGTGAAAGGATATCCAGCTTTCTAGTTTTAAAATCTGCTAAAAATCATTGTGCGCCTATGAAGTCATGGCTTATTAGTCAAACTAGACAACCACACTGGGTTTTGT